ATATATATATATATATACCTTCTGAATTCCTTCTCAGATAGTTCTATTGCTTATTCTTCTTCCAAGATACATGATAATTCTTTAGTCTGGACTTTTGTTTCTATTATTTTTCTGTTTGTTTGATTTGAGATTGTCTGTTGTTTCCCAGACATTTGGAAGCTGTTGTCTCTAATTGTTAGTTATGTATTGATTTTTTTTCACCCTGGTTTTATCTTTTACTATATATGGAAGTGTGCAGCAGGTGTTATCCTTTGGTAGGGATGTAGGTGCAGGTCTCTGTTCATTGTGAAGAGGATTCGGAGTTGGGATAAGCAGGTATTGTCCACTGTCTGTTGTTGATTCCGTAGCATGAGAGCTATTGGTGTTACCTGTCTATTGGGTGAGGTGTTCAGTGTAGTAGCTACGGTTGCCTAGTGGAGGTTGGCATAGTGCCTAAGGCATTTGACTGCTAACCAGAAGGCTGGCAGTTCAAACCCACCAGCCACTCCTTGGAAGGAATCTTGGGCAATATATTTCCATAGTGATACTTCTTCAGAAACCCAAGGAGAGGTTGCTATGAGTTGGATCTGACTCCGTGGCAATGAGTTTAGTCTTTGGTATTGAATGAGGCAGGGGAGAAAAGGAAAAAGAAAAAGAAAAAAAAAAGCACCAGAAGCAAACACCCAGAAAGGCAGAAGGAGTTCCAAGAAACACCAACACACTGCTGTTGAGTTGGATCTGGCTCATAGAGACCCCTCCTTGGGTTTCTGAGGTGGCATCGCTACAGTAGATTGCCCAACCTTCCTTCTGAGGAGTGGCTAGTGGGTTTGAACTGCCAGCCTTTTAGTTAGCAGTCAAATGCCTTAACCAGGCATGGGCAGGGCAACCTGGGTCCTTCTGGGGCCATCTGCTGATGATGATGCCCAACTGTCAATCAAAGCCCCACAGTTCAAACTTGATAGTCACTGCAAAGAACAAAGGGCTACCCCCTTCTGCATGAATCAACAAGCCCCAAAATACCAATACACAGATCCACTCAATGCCAAAAAGGGTTGCCAAGACTTGGACCAGAGCCCACCACCATGTCTCTGCTCTGGGTCTCCCCCTACTCAGAGAAAATTTCTCCTCCCTTTCCCCCACTGTCTTCTGGACTCTGTGGCAGCCTGTGTTAAAGGGGATCTTGATCTGTTTCCTAGTAAGATCTTTGTTACCACTCAAAGCCCCAGCTCATCTTGAAAAAGGGTGTGTGGCTCTTCCCCAACTCTTGTGGATTCTGTGAATTTTTTTTCTTCCTTCTCTCTTCCTTGACCTCATTTGTATTTTTAATGATTTCTCTCCATCTCTGTCAGCTGGGTGGGTTTGTTTATTTTTTCCCAGTTGTTTAACCTGCTTCCTTTTGTCCACCTACACTGTATCTAATACTTTATCTTCTCCTTAGTTGCTCATAACTCCTGTATCATTATTTGTATCTACTTTGACTAGTTACTCAGAATCTCAATTGGTAGAAGGACTGGACATGAAGACTATCTGTACAGTGCCATCTTCCTTCTTCGTTAGGTACTTGTGATATGCAGATGATACAGCCTTGCTTGCTGAAAGTGAAAATGACATAAAATACTTAATGATGAAGATCAAAGACTAGAGCCTTCAGTGTGGATTACAACTCAACATAAAGAATACAAAAATCCTCACAACTGGACCAATAAGCAACATTACAATAAATGGAGAAAACATTCATGTTGTCAGGGATTTCATTTTATTTGGATCCACAATCAATGCCCATGGAAATAGCAAACAAGAAATTGGATGATCAGATTCTTGAATGGCAAGATCCAAAAAAAAAAAAAAAAAAGCCTCTTTAAAGTGTTAAAGATCAAAGATGTTGCTTTGAAGACTAAGGTGCACCTGACCCATGACATATTTTCTGTAGCCTCACAAGATGTGAAAGGTGGACAATGAATAAGGAAGACCAAAGAATTGATGCATTTGAATTGTGAGATTGGCAAAGAATACTGAAAATACCATGGACTGGCAGAACACCAAATAAATGTGTCTTGGAAGAAGTAAAGAAGGAATGCTCATTAGAAGCAAGAATGGCCAGAATTTGTCTCACTTAGTTTAGTCATGTTGTCAGAAAGGACCAGTCCCTGGAGAAGGATGTCATGCTTAGTAAAGTACAGGGTCAGTGAAAAAAGAGAAGACCCTCAAGGAGATGGATTGACACAGTAGCTGCAATGATGGGCTCAAGCACAGCAAAGGTTATGAGGATGGTGCAAGACTGGGCAGTGTTTTGTTCTGTTACACATGGCATCGCTATGAGTTGGAGCTGACTCGATGGCACCTAACAACAGCTATCTATTGCTAAGTTTAAAAAGTCCTGTGTTGAGTGAGTCAGGAATTAGTTTGAAGTAAAATTAGACACATAGGGAATATGGGAGAAACTGGTGACATTTGGTCTGAAAAGACATAGTGGTTGTTTCCAATGTGTTTGTTGTTGTTGTTGTTATGAGCCGTCGAGTTGGCCCGACTCATAGCGACCCCTCCTTGGGTTTCCGAGGCAGTATCACTACGGAAGTAGGATTGCCCAACCTTCCTTCCGAGGAGTGGCTG